TGTGGCGTGTTACATGAGAAATATGTCGTTGATTATAACCGTTAAATCAGTACTAAACCATTTTCGAACTGCGATACGAAACAAAACAAATGAAATTTAAAGTCCAGCTATCATTTCTCCTCTCTGTTGTTTATCTAAATGAAAATAAAAATCAACATTTAAACAGAAAGTACTTTTTTGCTGGCCGTCGTTATTACACCGCTTGATTATATGAGCTCCCTGACAGAGGCCATTGTTTCAAGACAAATACAGGAAGGTAAAAAGGCTATTAATCTATAGCAGGATGAGATTCTTAACCGGCACTACTTGTAACCTGGTAACCCAGGAGAAATAGCTAGAAATATATTGGCTGACACCACGTTAAAATCCAAACATAAAAATATTATAGCAAACATGTCAAGTGAAGTCATGAATATGTAAAATTCAAATGTTTATCATGCATGCACCAGAAGGAAAATTACACAAGTTTACTCACGGCAAGGAGACGATAATTTCTCAAACAACTTTTGTTTAAATTTGTTGTAGTTTAGGCCTCTGTCTTAACGAAACTTGGGGATCTCTTTCCGGCGAAGAATATATTCACTGGAGTCTTTCGTCAATAATAATTTTCATTGCGAATTGTGAGACTCGTGTGATAAGATTTACCAAACGGTGGTCAACGAGCAGTCCCTCCGTTTGGTAATAGATGAAGTTTGAAAGACATTGTTCCAGCTACCCTGTGAAGGTAAGTTATTAGATTTTAAGGTCTCGCCAGTCAAAGTTTAACGAGAGAACAATTCCTGTTTTTTTAATTGTGCTTTCTAAATGATATTTAACACGTAAGCTGAGCGGGTTAGAAAGATGTCATAAATGTATACACATCCGGGTAGATGGGAAGATTGCAACAGTCCTACTATTCTGTGCGGGTAATTTTGCTTGAATGGCTCGCAGCGATTCACTTTGTAACATTGCAGGACTGGAGCAAATATCCTATGAGTCAGCTTGGCTGTNTCCATTCTCCGTAAACGCCCACGCAAAAAGGCAGAGTTTTATTTTTTTTTACGATTTTAGGGTCGCTTTCGACCAGCCATTATGCGGCCAACTTTCCATGGCATATTACGGTGTTGTTCTCTGTTTTCTGTTATCCTTCGCCATCTCAGTTTCCAATTTAATAACCATTTATCATTTATCATTTATCAGTTTTTATCATATGCTTGCTGGGGAACCAAATCCCCTGCTCCGGTTACCTACCCGAGCGGGCAAGATGGGACCATCTTGCCTGCTCGGGATAACCCGCTGTATAGTCACGCAAGAAAATGTTGCCATATAAATAAGTCCTTTATGGCCCATTTTGTATGTTATGGATATTGGCGTTGTCAGCTTTATATTTGCGTGTTTATGGACCCTGATGACGTCTCGGTCCATAAACACGTAAAAAATAAAAATGAACTTGGCCAATATCCAGCCATCTTGACCGAACAAGGTTGGTCAATAATCCACATATATTCCTGAGGTGGCAAAGACGGAATTCTTTTGGTCCTGGATAGATTCTGGGTGGTTACGCTTTATAGCTAAGAGTTAAAAAAAGTATCAACATTGTCGAAGCTTGTGTGTTCTTAACTATAAAATATAATCAACACGTTTACCGGTGGATACCTGCTACGAATTTTAACACTTAAATCCACCTCCTGCAGTCGAAATTAAATGGTCCGTTAGAATAATTCAATACTGTCAAAGGTTGTTCTAAAGTACAATACGGGAGTCTAGCAACATAACGTATGTTCGTTCACGTTTGACCTACCAAGCAGGTTTCACTTTAGATCAGTTTAGAGGAAATATTTCCTTTAAAAGCTGGTGTCATTGGCATCAATAAAATTCTAATTGATATTTCCCACAACACAGTGCCGACGGTTTTGATTTCACCGAGCGCATGTTATCGCTAAGCCGAAGGCTAAGAACGTTTTCAAGAGTTTCCCCCGCCGTTGATTTGCCAGTAGTACTTCAGTCAGTACTCGGCAGTCAACTGAAGCAGCAATGGCGATGAGTGGGTACTTCACGGAAGGGCAGCCATCACCTGGAGTGCACTCTCCACCGACGTTGTCAGATCACGATCGGGATTCACTGTCAAAGGAGCCCTTAGAGCTATCCTCAGGCAAGACATACGACACAATAAAGGGCAAAACAGACGGTAGGCATATTTCTATCTTCTCTCATGTCATTAACAAGCTTAACCCAAGATTAATTAGCGTTGAAAGAGAGTACTTCAATCAGTTTATTATATTACTCCAGTAACCATGTTTAGTGTGACAATCCAAACATGACATCGAGCCACCTGTTTTCTAGTCATGGTCATTTGCGCTCGCACAGGTTGCGGATGGCTGTAAGTTCCGAAAGTAGAAAGCGGCCCTTCGAAAGTAGCGACAAGATTTTATGTTGTACTGTCTGCGTATCGCAAAACTAGCAACCTCAAACGTAATTTGACTTTTCTACAGTGGCCGGTCTATGGCAGGAAGCCATGGCCAATACTCTAATTTC